ATTCAAATTTAGGGATTTTTTCAATCTAGTCAATATAAAATTTACTAACAGTAAATATAAAATTTACTAACCCCTTTGCTGCTTCCTTCCTCTTGATAAGAAAATTGATAAACGGGCAGAGAAGACTTCATGCATACTAGAGACAAAGTTGTTTTACTTCACTCTTTCAGCAAACCACCCTCACTTAGCAGAAATGCAAATGCCAAAAAAGGTTTTTTCCAAAGTTTTGACTATTTCCTCTAATTTGAACTCAGCCTTAGGGCTCATGAATTGTCCTGAATCCAAAGCAAGATGAAAAATAATTTAAGGGTTGACACTTCCATTTCAAATGTTCTTCTTATCTGTTTCTTTATATCCTCCCTTTTTCCCTCTTGTCCTTGCTTCGAAGTCAAGCCAAACTGACAGTTTTGCTTGCTTTTGTTCTGAGACCTGTTAAAGTCCCTTGGTTTTCCCTGTGGTTTTCTATTGGATTCTGAGCTGGCCTCAGTTTGTGGTTCAGAGCCAGTTCCAGGTGGCCTGGGGATTACAAATGCCTCACCAGCAGAACCAAGGAAGCTGCTTTGTGAACTCTGGCAAAGCTAAACCCTTCTTGACATTTCCAGTCGAGAGAGTAGGCCCAGTTTATAACTAGTCCCTTGAAATAGGGAATTACAAATCTTAGCTTTGGTGTGAAAACATAAGACGTATTTTTTTCTTTGAACTATGGAGCGAGTCTTTCTTTTCTTCCCTCTTCCTGCTCCTCAGATGACCACTGCTACCTCCTATAGAAATGGAATCCATTGGAAACTGACTGCCTTGGAAAATAAATGGTTTGGAAACCTTTCAGAAAAGAAAAAATACTAAAAAGGCCCACTGTCAGACTCATGAGCTTATTTCCTTTACATGTGGAAAGTGGGCTGTCTGCAGTCTGCCGGGTTCATTTGGGTTCCAGCAGTCTCTGCTTACATACAGCTCTTCTTACCTGGCCTTACAACGTTGAGATCACCACTGCAAGCCCTCCAGCATCTTCCTCATCCACCTGGAAGAGGCTTCCTTTTTGTTCCTTTCAGCCACCAATTCTGTCAGCAAAACCAGCTTTGCTATTGCCTGTTGCTCTTGTGTTCCAGTTCTCATCAGATATGGTCACATAACCTTTCCTGTCAGTCTGCAAACTGCTGGGAGCATTGACCTCCCCTACCAAGCTCCATGACCATGTACTGAAAGTGGATCTTTCCTTTTATAATTCATAGGCCATCTGTTTAGCTTTTAAAAGAAGAAAAGCAATAAATAAATAAAAGTCCTGCTAGTCAGTCTCCACACCTCTAAAGAAAAAAAATGGTAAAAAATGACCTTACTGTAGACAACTTAAATGCAGCTCATCAAGGAGAGGACACAGAGGTCCTGAAAACAGCTGGAAAGAACTGCTAGATCCCTCCTGGTGGGTGAGTTCCCATCACCTCAGTGACTTGTGTGGTGGCCAGCACCCATCTCTTTACTCAGGTGGTTAAAAACAATTCTGTAGTAACCATTGGCTGCTCTGGGATCTCCTCTCTGAGTTCTCCCTCAAGCTGTCACCTTCCAGGGAGCTCCTCCGTGCCCCAGGCCCCACAGGGGAGGGAAGACAGCATGTTCCCATGTGCCAGTGAAACCAAATCCACGTTTTTCTGCAAATTACAGTTCAAATTACGAGGTTTATCTTTGTTTAGGAAAATTAACAGGCTCATCTACCAATTCCTGCATGGAATGAACATGGTAAATTCCATGGCCATATCCTGGTTAAAACGAAGGGAATGTATCTTTTGAGGAAGCTCTGTCTCATAGCATCTGAGCTGACAGAAAAATGGTAGCCATGGGAGTCTCCAAGAAAAAGTCAGTACAGACCATCGCCTGCTCAGAGGACTGAGCGATGAGGTCTGTACCATCCTGGGGCTCAGCTGCATAGCACAGGGAGCAATGGCTCACATCTAAAAGCTCTCACTCCCAGAATTCTTCCTCAACACTGGTACAGACGGTGAGGCTGATCACACTGCTGGCTTTGGGGTTTTTTGCAGGTGACTGAAATGTAACCGACATCCCAGACTGACCAGATTAAAGAAAGGCTGCAGCTTCATTCACTGGAATCCCTGCAGAAGTTGCCCTTTTCTGAATTGCCAGCTGTAGCACTAACGTGGGTGGCTGGTAAAGAAGCATTCACAAAGCTTTCAAGTCAATTGCTGTTGGCTTAGTGAGCGCTTTCTTCATCATCGGCCTGAATGGATTTATTGTCTCGGCCATGGAGTGTGAACAAAAGTGACAGTGCTCACCAGGCACTTCGTTTTCTCAATCCTACTCAATTCTAATTGTAACTAATGAAAAGAATACTGCATTTTGAGGTCGTGGTTCCAGGAATCATTTGAAATAGCAGTAGCCTCCAGTGCTGTTCAAAATACAGTCTAAATAATGCAAGACTGTTAGCGAAAAATACAGCACTATTAAATAACACCAAGTAATGGACAACTACTCAAAGTCATTATTCTTGATTAGCCTGGATCATTATTACTGAGTGCATGTGACCTTATTTGCACTCAGTAATACTTGCAGTCATTCAGGGAAGTTAAATAATCATTACTGATTAATTACTATTGATTATACTGAGCGGTTGTATCCATATTTAATGTGTTTTCAGTGCTGTATTAAGAAGCACTGAAACTTCCTAAATATTTTTGTTTTATTCCTACAACAAACATAACCCTTTTCAAAAGTAGGTAGTTTGCAAGAAAATTGACTTATGTTCCCTAAATAATTTAATAATTTCAGTATTTCTGAAAAGCCCACCCAAAATGATGCCTTTTTTCAGTCCAGGGAATTTTTAGTTCAGGTAAAATAATACCTTTTGTGCAGCGTGTGAGGATGAGAGTTTTCATAGCCTCTCAACTGAAACACGTCGTGGCAGTGTGCGAGGTGAGCCTTCCCTCTCTGAGGGGAGGGATGGAGCAAATACCCACCGATTTTAATACAGAAGTGTACAGGTGGCATTTTGAGTAGGAAGGGGGAAGTCTGTGGTTCTGCTGAAGATGGCAGGTTTCTGGAGGTTGCCTGTTGATTTGTCTTGCAGTTACCTCTCTCTGCACATACCTGCTCGTGGCACACCTTCGACAGGAAGCGATTTGCACAGCATTTTGTCAGCGCTTGTTTAGCATGAAGCTTAGTGCAGTGATGAAGCGTCCCTGTAGGCCTTTGTATTTTCTTCCTAACTGCAGGCACACTTGACAGGGTGACACGCTGTTGAAATGTTGTTTAAGAAGAGATTTGTTACGGAGCGTGATGGGTTGGGTTTTTTTTAAATGAAAAGCATTGTCATGAGTCTGTTTGGTGGGAGCAATCAGCCACTGTAATTAATGCCAGGGCTTGGCTGACCGATCGCTTCCCAGGTGCACAGGGCAGTTTTTGCCTGCCATGCCACCCTCTTGCCTCAGCTCAAGCAGTTTGCAGCAGAGCTGTGATGGACGAGGCAGTGGCAAAGCAGCGATATCTCCTGCAAGAGCTCTCCACAGCTCCCTTTGATGGGAGGAACAGCACGTTGGTTTTACTCCAGGCTTTTCTGGTTGTGGTGCAGTCAATTAAAATGACAAAATGATGCATGATGGGAGGAAGAGTCTCATTATATTGTCGCTTGTACTTTGTAGTTTGCTTTTAAAGGGCTCTGTTTGCCATCACAACTAATGAAGGGCAGAAGCTGACAGTCTGGGTTGCAGCGATCCTGTGCAAAGTGCAAATGCTTCACAGTAACACCATGACAAACACCAGTTTGGGGATTTTTTATTGTGTGTCTGATAGCTCTGGTAAAGACGTGAGTCTGAAGTAATTTAATTTAATTCTGTTTTTATGATTGTGAGGTGCAGGAGCTGGGCTGGTCGTGTTTATTCTACCCTGATATTAAGAAAAATGAGGTGTAGCTCACAATCTGCTCTCCCGGATTTAACTCTGTCAAGTTAGCAGTGAGGAGTGAGGGGAAAAGTGTGAGGAACAGCCCCGAAAAACCAAGGACTGGGCAGGAGAAGGGAGGAGGCCTCCAGGCCCCAAGCAGAGACCCCGCAGCCATGGGAAGCTGGTTTTCCTGACAGGAAATGCAGCCATGGAGGGCCCATGCTGGAGCAGGGGAACGTGTGGGGAGGAAGGAGCGGCAGAGAGGAGCCACTATGGACAGACCACATCCCCCTTCCTCACCCCTGCACCACTTGTGGAGGGAGACGTAGAGGAGTATCGGAGGGGTGAAGGTGAAGGGAGTGTGTTTTTGCTTTTTTGCCTTTTTCACCATCCAAACCTATTTTAATTAGCAATTAATTAAAATAACTTTTCCAAGTGGCTTCTGTTTTGCACATGACAATAATTGGTAAGTGATCTCCTTGTCTTTATCTTGACCCATGAGATTTTTTGTCATACTTTCTCCTTCCCATCCTGTTGAGGGAGTGTGAGAGAGCAGCTGGGTGAGCAGCTGGCAGCCAGTCCGGGTCGACCCACCACAATATCACATGCTGTAGGATTTTATATAGGAGTTCCTTCAGAGGGAGGAATTCTTCCTGCATGAAGTGTTTTAACATCCAGCACATAACTCATCTTCTCAGATGTATAGCTCTGCGTACTGGAGTGAAATCTCCTGAAGTCTCCTGAAGGTGGGAGAGAAGAAGGGAGAGGACAAGTGTGTGTGACACACGGAGGAAGTGGAACAGTGTACCTTGACCAGCATTGAGATGCCAACAGGTTCCTGTGTTCATAGACCTGCAAGCTTGAAAGAGCTGCTGTGGTGGATTAGATCACTTGTCAACAAAAATTCTACAGGGTTCTTCACAGTAAACCAGAAATGAGCCTTTACATTTTATAGTAATTCCTCTGTCTTGGAAATGCACAGCATGACAGTCACTATTTGAATGTGTTGTCGAAGTGTTAGTGAGGATGAGAGCTTAAGAAGGAAATGTACTGTGCTGAAACAAACATGGTAAAAAGGAGGTGGGATAAATGAAAACATCTTTCTGTCTCTGCAGAAACTCAACGTATTGCATGAAGGTGTCCATGTCCTTGACGGTAGCTGAGAATGAGTCTGGGCTTTGCTACAACAGCAAGATCAGATATCTGGAAAAATCAGAAGTCACTAAGAGAAAGACAATCTCCTGTCCTGATATTGAGGATTACAAGACAGCCGGTCAAGAGCCAGATGTGGTGTGGTACAAGGTAACTGTTGCTGTCTTACTACTGTTGTGCTGAAACTGTGCAGAACTTCCGCTGTTTTCAGTCTCAGACATAGAGATGGCCTTTTCTGAGCCTGCAGTGGTTTATGACTGGTCTGGAGGATGCTCTCCCAGTATTATAGAAGTAATACTGAAGTACAGGCAGAAGTACCCAGCATAGTAATTGTCCAACAGAAATCAGCATTGATGAGGATGTTCTGTGCAGGGGGTCACATTATTTCTCTAACAGCAATACCACATTCCCAAACCACTGTGCCTCTGTACCAGTTTCCACCTCAGTGGGATGTCTCCCTTCCTGATGCTGTAGTAGAAACCAAGGGAGGCAACCTACAATGAGCCAAGGGTTGTATCAGCATCACCAACTTCAGTAGTGCTACCCAATTAATTTTTATGAAGACTGTTGGGTAATTTAGTCAAAGCTTGTTGATTTTTGCCAAAGTCCACTGAGTAATTTCACAGAAATACATTCACTTTCGCTGAGGTTCACTGAGTAATTTTACCGAGGTCTGGTAGTTTTAACTGAGGTCTGTTAGGTACTTTTACTGCTTGGCAGCTACCTCAGCTGGCTGTTCCTTCTCCAAGGCCTGTCAAATATTGCACACCACTTTCAACAGCAGATGTATCAGTGATGTGTTGCTGTAGCTCCCCAAGAAAACAACAGAATGACTGAAATACGGGTTGTGTCAGGCAGACATCAGGTACCAAGACCATAGCAAGGTCTGGCAGATTTTACCCATTGGACCAAAGTCTGATAGTTGAAAAGCCCTTGAGTATGAGTTGCTGCAAGAAACAATAGAGAAGAATAAAGAGCTGAGAGGCAGAGGGAATAAGAAATGGTTGGGCAAGAGGAAGAGCTTGATGGGGTCCGTGGAAACCAGAGTTTGGATTGTAGGGATACAGGCAGAATGAGTTTAGGGTAAACTTGGTTCAAGTAATGAAGACAAAACCCCACAAAGTAGTTAAATCCTAAATTTTGAGTGCTTGATTTGCTAAACTTAATAACATTATTTAGGGCTAGTTATTTTGTGAGAAATAAGTAATATGTGCAGAGCTGCAGATTTTTTCCTCCTTAGCAAGTTGCCTCAGAACAGAGCAATTGTAAATGTTGTCATCTATTTTTTATGAAAGTCTCACGTGTTCTATATTATAGCAACAAAATGTGTGCCATAACCCAGTGTTAGTATAAACAGAGCTTTTTCTTTCAGCCACTGAAGCTGTTTCTCTCAGCATATAGGTGAGTCTCTTCAGTGCTGTTCATGCATAAAATACTTGTGTTCAGTTAAGTCTGAAATCTTGGAGAAGCGAAGATACCAGAGATAAGCTGTTTCTTGCCCCATCTGTCTAGGTATTGCTGAACACCAGATCACTGAAGATCTCCTTTGTTTTTAAGAGCACACTGCAAAAATAGTCTGGCAGGAATAATCTTCAGCTGTCACGGAGCAGATATCAGTGCAAGGAGGATGCACGTACAGCCCCACATCAGCGATGCTTTGCGCTGACCAAGAAAGGGAACGAGAGGTCTCTGTTCCACATACCCACGTGTGGTGTCTGGGTTGCAGACACAGGCTGTGTGACACCAGGCTGGAGTGTGACAGCTCACTGACAAGTCGTCACCGTGGTGGAATGGAACAGAATTGATGTGGTTGGATGATGATGGTGAAGCAATCAAAGCTGACCACCTTTACTCTGGCTCGATAATGAAAAGAGGCATTGGTGGAATAACGTACTACATGTTCCACCTTATCCATAATTAACAGTAGGGTGCTGTCAGTTCAGTTCTTAGACAACAGCTGTGTTACCTGGACCTGAGTCAGGAAGCTCAGTAATGGGAAATGTCAATATTAGTGTTAAGCATAAGGTGTATATGTCAGGTTATCCCTTGAAGCTTTTTCCAAAAACAGGGTTTTGGAGAAATATTCTAGAGGGTGTTACGGTACTTAGCTCTTAATAGAAGTCTGCTTGTTCATCTAAGTCCAGTTTCTCGAAAAAATGTAATTACCTGGATTTCAGAATTATATTATTATTTTTCAAAATGATGTGATTAAACTGGGGTAACCCCTACAAACTGCAGTCTGGGACTTAAGATCCTTCTTATGAGACAAAGTGTGTAACAAAAAGCAAGTCCCTTCTTCCAAAGAACAGTGTAAAGTCATTCCGTTTTAGGATCTGACCCTCACTCTATGAAGAAGGTATCTGTCTCCAGCCACTGCTTCCTCAGGTTTTTCCCCTCTACCTTTGTCACTGAGTTTGACATGTACATAAAGGTGTAATCAGCCATCTTCTCTTGTAGATCTGCTCCAGAGGCACTAGGGACAACTCCTTTTCATGATGCTGAAATATTTAGAGAAGATTTTAATACCGAGGAGAGCATACATTGTCCAAAACAGAACAGTAGAGAAGTAAATGTGATGAAGTCTTTGAGGTTCCTTCTTTGTACCTTCAGCTGAAGAGAGAAATCCTTGTGTTCATGAGAACCTGCCGATCTGCTGGCGGTTGGGGAGTTCGGGCCTGTGGCCGATGAAATCCCATCAGACAGGACAGGGATGCTGCCAGCCCGCTGGATGCAGGACTCGCCCTGCCTCTGGAAAGCTTCTTGATGTGCAGAGATTAATGAATCTGATCCAATAATTACATCAATTTACAGGGAGTTAACTGTAATTTAGACACGCTCTTAAAATAATTATGCCTGAATAGATTTCCACATGCACACAATAATAAAACATGGGCTGTGAGGATTTGGTTTAACAGTCATATGAACTTCACTTCTGGCTAGCATTGCACTGCATGAAATACTTATTTTTAAAGATTTTCACGATTAATGATATACACACATTGATATACATATACACACAGCACTGTTACGCCTCACTCAAATGCTGTTCCTGTAGAACCACAGTTCATAGTGATGAACCTAAATCTGCCAAATAACATCCAAGGTGTGCATGGTGAATTCAGTAAATGTTGCAGGCCATCAGTACCATGCGCTCCACCAGAGGACACGCATGGGGGTGATGCTGCAAAGAGCCTAGTGATAGCAGAAGGCTGAATCAAAGCTCATCAGGTTCTGGAGAAGCCAGTGATGGGAAACAAGACCATAAGGAAACCAGGCTTCTTGAATTCTCTTGCTCAGACAACTGTTGTTGTTCCTGTTTTCTGCTGTTGGTAAATGGTTCTAGCCTGAGACTGTGTGTGAAGTTTGCCTTCAGGCTGGCTCTTAACAGACGTTGCCCTTGCTCCCTTCAGAGATGCATTTTAATGGTCCATCCTCAAGTAGAGGTCTTGGCAGTTGTTCATCATGAAAAAGAGAAGATACTTAACCGTTGCCTCAGGACACCACATATTAAACACATCCCATGTGATACAGTGGAAATTACTGAACCTTAAAAACATTTCTGTTTAATTTCTGTCTTCAAATTAATTCCAGTTTCAGATCTCTGTGCTTTCTGAAATTATGTTTGCATTTGAATTGCAAAATCTATTGAGATGGTTGTTTGCTTATGTATAATACTGAAAATATGATCAGGCAACGCTGTCTTACATCATACAAGCTGGGTAATTTTGGCAATGCATTTTCTTCTGCAGGAATGTAAGCCAAAAATGTGGAGAAGCATTGTAATTCAGAAGGGAAATACTCTGTTAATACAAGAGGTCCAGGAAGAAGATGGAGGAAATTATACCTGTGAACTAAAGTTTGAAGGCAAGCTTATACGAAGAACAGTTGAATTCAAGGTTACTGGTAAGAATCTTTGTTCTATGCCAATAGAGAAAAGAAAGCTTTGAAATAAGAGGAAAAAGTGGTTTTCACAGTCTGTGAACCTGTTTGAGAGAAGTAAGCCCAAACCCCAATGGCTGAGCAGTCCCAAACTAGGGGAAATTTATATCAAGATCTTATAAAATTCCACAGAAGACTTCTGTCTTTTGCTCTGTACAAAACCTGGAAGTGCTGGTTATAAAGCAAAAGGTAGGGCAGACCTAAGTCCTCCCTATATGCTGACAGTAATTCATACTCCAGTTTTGTCTCCAGTGTTGTACAGAAGAAAGGTTGACTGAAGCTGTAAAACAGGCTTTTGGTGAGGCTGTCCTGGAATAAAACACAGCCACAAGACATCTTGAGTAATGTTTTTTTAAAGTCACTGTTCCATATTTTTAAGCATTGGTTTAAAATTTACGGTCATCTACTTCTCTAGTCCAGAGTTTGTCTTTAGTGAAGGGCATGACACAACCTATTCCCAGAATGACGTTAGGAACGTTGGACTGTCAGGGGGAAAGTAGGCTGCTTGTCGAAGGTCATTCACACGTTGTGAGTCCGTGTAGTCAGCTATAGCCAACGGTATTGTTCTGTCTCTTTTTGTCAGGTACCAGAAATGAATGGGTAAAATAGTGTTGCCTACCAATATATTCCTGCTCTCTTTCCATTCCACCGTACGGTATGACATCTGTGTCTGTGTAACTTTGCACAGTTCTGACAACAAATGTGGTTTTTGCAGCCATTTGCACAAAACCATATAAGCACATGGTTAGGTGTTTTCCCATCTGTGTTTCGATATATGATTGAAATGGGGTCTGTCTTAAAGCAGTGATAAGTAAAATTCTACTTTCTTATCTCAAACTGAATTGATCCTTAGGATATTTCTGATATGTTCTTGAAATTCTTCCCTTTATTTTTGAGTGAAACCCGTTTTTCTATTCTTATCATTATTCCTCGTTTTAAATGAATTCTTTTCCCTGTGTGCCAGATTCATCTATCGTGTGGTTCTTTGTGGTCCATTTTTGACCATGGACAGGTCTCTAAAGTATTGATTTGACCTGTCAAATGAATATGTAGTGCCTGCCTTGTGGATAGCTGCTATCCTAGGTAGCATGCTGGTCTGTAACGAGAATATGAACTGAGTTTGTCCAATTGAAAATGGGATGCATCTAATTCAATTCCCCATGGTGGATATTCTTTAGATAGCAGGTATTCTCTGCTCTCCCTCTCATCATGACCTTGCTAGAACTCATGTGTTCTTTTCATGATTTGAACAGTGTGGTATATTCATACTTCACAATTTAATGAATTTGCACTGAACTAGCCATGGTATTAAAATTGTTTTATTAAATTGTTTATTACCTGTATTATTATAAATGTGAATATGGAGTATGCAAGTGTTCTCCTTTTTGCAAAATGCTTGAGAACCAGGAGATTGTTCCCCCTGTAATCTGATATGAAATTCATATTAAATTAAATTACCTTTCGTTTATAAAAGCATGTATGTTAGTAAACACCTTTTCCAGATTTAAATTTTTGGGAGAACCATCTGATATTATGTGTTTGAATCTCTCTAGATACCTGGAAAAGGCCTGTAAGTTTATGTAGACGATGACCTGAAAATATGGATTAGAAATATGAACGTAATACCAATGTATTGCAATACCATGTATGAATATGTACCATGTAAGCATGTTATCTTATAGCTTGGTGCTTCACCAAGTTTCTTTCTCCTGTTTCTGTTTTGTTTGTTTTTGAATTTTATATGCATGTGGGTTTAGATCTTTATAGGGGAGAGAAAGTCAGAGAAAACTCATACCACAAGCAGCAGAGGATTACTTCTGTTTGTGTGGCTGGCCACGTCAGGTCCTGAGGCAGATGAGATCACAGGCTGGGAGCAGGTACATGACATACTCAGGGACTGTGTTGAAGAATACGTCTCATGGGAGCAAGAAATAAAACTGTGTACTGGTGTAGTTGTTGACTCATACCCCGAGAGCTTGCTTTCCGTGGGGCTAGTGCAGCTCTAGGTGGGAGGCACCTCTGGAGAGCAGCCTGTCCAACCCCAGCCCAAGCAGCGTCAGCTGCAGCAGGCTGCCCAGGGCAGTGGTGTTTTGAGTATCTCTGAGAATGCAGACTCCACAACATCTCTGGGCAAAGCTGTCACAGTGTTCAACCACCCTCACAGTAAAAGAGATCTGTCTTATGTTTAAGCAGAATTTCTTTTTATTTTGGTTTCATCTATGCCCATTGCTTCTTATGGTGCTTTTACTGGGCACCACTGAGAGCAGTCCAGATCCATCTTTACACCTTCTCACCCGGTGTTTACACACATGGATAGTATCACCATGAGCCTTCTTTTCTCCAGAACAACCCGCCCCATCTACAGTAAAAAAGATCTGTCTTTTTATTTCAGTTTCATCTGTGCCCGTTGCTTCTTATTCTTTTACTGGGCACCACTGAGAACAGTCCAGATCCATCTTTACACCTTCCCACCCGGTGTTTACACACATGGATAGTATCACCATGAGCCTTCTTTTCTCCAGAACAACCCGCCCCATCTCTCTCAGCCTCTTCTCATATGATAGGTACTCCAGTCCCTTAATCACCTTTGTAGCCCTTCACATACTTATTCCAGTATGCCCCTGTCTTTCTCGTAGTGGGATTGGCTGTGCACTGGTGCACATCATTCACCTTTCTGAAGACTGAGTTCTCATTAAGGTACCAGGAGGAGCTGGGGTGGGACCAGGGCTCACGCTGCTGAACTTGTCTTTATAAATCACTGTTGGCAAATACTGCTGAAGGCTCACCAGCAAACTGGGGTACAATTATCTCTGCTAGCCTGCAATGCAGATGTGGAGAAAAGGATCTTGCCTACTGTTTCTTCTGTAGCACTTTCTAATACTGTTTCTATTGCTGTTACTTATTAACATGCCTGAACTGGCATTTATTGGCAAGTGCCTGAGTTCCTCTAACACTCCAGATTTTGAACAGCAAGACCCTGTTGGGCACTGCTAGCCACCATGGCAACCTGAAATTGTTATTGAAGAGTTATTCTGAAAGTGAAACAGGCAACTCCAAGTCTCCCTCAAGCAAGGAGAGCTGCACTGCTGTGGAGAGAGAGCTCGACTTAGATTCCCTGTAGTCTCGCTGAAGTTCACAGTTCTTGAAATACCTCACCTTGTCATTATAAGACAAGGATCTTTCTTTTTTTAAAGTTGCATCAAATCTGGTACACGAGGTTTTCAGTCCTTTTTGGAGATTCTGGTAGTTATGGAAGTGGCAGTATAAAATAACTGATAGTCATAGGTAAATGGAGTATGGGCATCTAAAGAGTGAAACTTGAAATCTTCAATAAATGCAGTGCTCATATAACAAAAGTTGGAATAATGGAAAGCTTCAGGAAAGCTGGAAAGTGCAGGAGCTAGACGCACCATTTTAACTTGTTGGTGAAATCTCTGGAGTCATAGATGGAAACTGGAAACCATCAGTACAAGGCCTGGCTCTGGTACGAAAGGCAAAGAGACCCGAGTTCTATTAGGAGATGAGCAGGGCATGAACCAAACAGCTAAAATGGCATTTCTAGAAAGGGGTAGATTGACTGCACGTGGAGTCCTGTACAGGGCTGGCAAAGTTATTGTATGGCTTCTGTGTTTAAGGTATGGGAAAGTGTGATTAAGATGGTAAAAGGCTTCAGAGCCTGTAGGTCTTCATGGTCGTAAGGAAAAGGCTTGCAGCCTAGAATGTATTTGAAAAACACTTTGACACAAAGTATTTATAGGGACAAAATCCTGAGCTGCAATACAGCACTAATGAGCAGTGCCTAAATCTTGGTGTTTGGGTGCATTTAACAATAATAGACTGTCAACAACACAGCTTTTTCATCACTGGCTCTTCATGAGTTTGTTATATTATGCAGACAGATGGGAAACAAGTCTTGTCAGCCTTTTTGCTGAAGAAACACGACAGCGGCGTTGTCATATAGCAAGTAAGACGTAACCCTTCAGTCTATGTAAAAAAAACAGCATATACATATATATATATATATATGTTTACATATATAAAAAAGCACATACATATATATATTTTTATATATTTTCACTTTGCTTCTTGGTAGCTTCGTTGTGGACAAACAAATGAGATTAGCAACTGCGATGCAGGGTTCTAACAGAAACTCTGGTTTTAATTAGATAATACATTAGAGTGCACCCACGTAGAAAAAAATAAACATACTAATATAAAGTTACAGATAATCAACATCAAAACTGATTAGTTTTTATTAAAATTGCAGATGTTCAGGAATGTCAGAAATCATGAGCATTTTAATGAGTGTTGTTAAATGCCAGCGTTTGTTGAAGAACAGTTATGCTATTCAGATAAAAAGAAAAACCCAAACATAAAAAGTCATGTTGTTTTTGAAAGGCAATTTATGCAACCTCCTGCTCTCCCCAGCCCTGCCAGCCAGTTCCCTCTGTCTGATACACAGCAATGTTTCAGTAGCTTTTGGGATGAAAAGGTGCAATTGAGAAAGATTCCTGCTATGTTTACCTGCGGCTTCAGCACTCTTTGTTTTGTTTTGGAACACTGATCTGTACAGAGACGGGCTTAGAAGAAGAAGTAAGCAGACAGAAGTTGGAGGATGGGGAAAGGGCGATACCCCTGAGAAAGGAGCAAGATCTGATTCCATGGGGTGGCCCAGGCATCCCCTGGCAGATGGAGCTGTCTTGTAGGGATGTGCTTTGCCATGGACAGCCATGCTAGTGAGAGACATTGCCTTGTTCTTTCTGCTGCCTGTGAAAAGAGGTGATTTGGGAACTTGTGCTGGTGAGTTATTCCCCAGTTTGACAGCAGAAGGTGGCCATCTGACCAACTTCATAAACTGCTGGTGATGGATTGGAGTGATATGCAGGAATTACTGGACCGCTCTGTCCAGCAGCCCTGTCCTCCAAGTTTCCTTCAACCTCTATTCTGTCATATTCTTCATAGGC